CAAATATATATTTCTTAAGATGTTGCAATATCACACCACTTTAGCACTACAGCTAACTGAAAGCAAGAAGTCTTCTTTTGCTTTAGCATGGAAGGATGGCTTTGGCCTTCACTTCTGCTTGTTCAGTCCTTCAGCTCGCAGAAGGGATGCTAGTCCATGAAGGTGACCTCCCAGAATGCGTTAAACTTTGTCACTCACTGCCAAAAAAAAAAAAAAATGTCTAGCGGCAATGAACACACCACGTCATGTTACTGAAAATCAGTGAGCGGGGCACCATATTTAGCCTACAGTGGGAAACAAGAAACCTGGGACCTAAAAGGCTGGCTTTGTATTTATCACATCTCAACAACATCCATCAGGATTCAGTATGCTGGGCACCGTGGATGGCATAACACCAATCAAAACTCGAGTGCTCAAGGACCCTGCTCCACCCTCTGCGGATCCGCAATTGTGGTAAGGAGAAGTACAGCAAATTGTAACTCTGCTTTTCTTTTGAGACAGAGTCTCACTCTTGTTGCCTAGGCTGGAGTGCAGTGGTGTGATCTCGGCTCACTGCAATCTCTGCCTCCCAGGTTCAAGTGATTCTCCCACCTCAGCTTCCCAGTAGCTGGGATTATAGGTCCCCGCCACCATGCCCAGCTAATTTTTGTATTTTTGGTAGAAATGGGGTTTCATCATGTTGGCCGGGCTGGTCTCCAACTCCCAGCCTCAAGTGATCCGCCCACCTTGGCCTCCCAAAGTTCTGGGATCACAGGCGTGAACCACCACACCTGGCCCAAATTTTAACTTCTTGATAGATCCAATCAGTCAGAAAAAGAATTGTTGAATACTGAACCCACCTGAAACCCTAGCAGGGCGGGCAGCTGTGAGATTCTCATTTCTTCATATTCGTTGCTCACATACTATGACGTGCCTACTCTGTCACCCACTAGGGGGTGTGTTCTAAAGGCGGGAAGAAAGTCTCCCTGGGCAGCCTGGAAACGGCTGGCTTGTAAAGCCTATGCCCAGCCCAAGCTGCAGGAAGGAGTCTCACTGCGTTTTTCAACATTTGGGCTGCATCAGCCCCCTCCAGCCACACACCCACCAGCACTCATATGTGCAGTCACCTGCAAATCAGAAAAATGTTGTTCTCACTCAGTCCCTGAAACCAATTTAAAGCTGTACGGCTTATCTCCAGCATTAGCCATAATCCAACTGCTAAATCGGCAGGTGGGTTGTACTTTGTCGTGTTCTCCCTCGTCCTCCAGCCTGAGCACCTCCTACTCCACCTCAATGCTCCCAAGCTGACCACCGGGGACCCTGCCAGACACAGCTATGCCCCCACCTTTATATATATATATATATTGAGACAGGATCTCACTCTGTCGCTCATGCTGACCTTTAAATTTTTTAAACCTCTTTCCCTCACTCATTTCCCTTCTCCCCTCCGTTGCATCTGAAACCTGTCCAAGGTAACAGCTAGTTAATTTTAGATGAGATTAAGGAGTTACGTTTGAATTCTTCAGGTCATGTATTTGCATTTGTTGAATACATTCTCAGCAAGCAAAGCTTATGCAGTTTGCTTTAGGTGGTGCCTGTTCTAAGCACACACAAGCCATGAGAAGTTCAGAAAACAAATGGGACAGAGGCCGCTTGTTCAGCCATTAGGAGCACCAGCTCCAGAAGCAGGTGATTTGAGTTGGAATCTGCCTCACCGCCTACCAGTTTTGCAATTTCATCTTTCTGTGCTGTCTCTCAGCTATAATTGAGAGCCATAACACCCAACTCAGAGGACTGTTACTAATATTAAAGGAACTGATACAGGTAAGAAGCTTAAAACATTTCCTGCTAAGAACACAATAAATGTCAATTGTTATGTTACTATCAGCAAGACTGACTACATAATTTCTGAGGCCCAGTATAAAATGAAAATGCAAGGCCCCTTGTTCAAAAATCCTTAAGAATTTCAAGACAACAGCTACAAACCATTAAATCAGGTACAGGGTCTTGCTATGCACAGAGCGCTTGTGAATGCACTGTCACACACTTAACACCAATCCTGTCTCTCAGGATTAGTACAAAAACACATTATTGCCCTAAGATCCAGAGACTCTTCTGTGTGATCATTGAGAAAAAGTCCTGAAAACCCATCTTTCATTTGCCTCTGGGAGAGTGGTGACTGGCAGGAGAAAATAGGTAGTACTTTCTAAAAATACCAACAAAATTGGCTGGTGTGGTGGCTCACGCCTGTAATCCCAGCACTTTGGGAGGCCAAGATGGGTGGATCACTTGAGGTCAGGAGTTCCAGACCAGTCTGGCAAACATGGCGAAACCCTGTCTCTACTAAAAATACAAAAATTAGCTAGGCGTGGTGGCAGAAACCTGTAATCCCAGATATTCAGGAGGCTGAGGCAGGAGAATCGCTTCAACATCAGGGATGAAACTTGCAGTGAGCTGAGGTCGCACCACTTCACTCTAGCCTGGGCGACAGAGCCAGACTCTGTCTCTAAATAAATAAATGAATAAAATAAAATATAATAACTCCCACCCCCAAAAAAAATCCCAAAGTAAGTTTTGCAAGTGATAATCACTTGCACAGCTTTTTGATGGAAGATCAGGAACAAAAATCACCTTACATGTTTCACTAAACCTGCTGCTCTATGACAAAATCTTACAATAAATCCATGTCGGTCATGGATTTATTGTAAGATTAAATAAACTCCTGAAAACAAAAGCTTTTGCTACATAAAAGGAATGTTGGAACAACAAAGTATATTTGCAGTAAGTTTGGATTGGATTCCTTCTGAGAATTTTTTTTAAAAAAGATGGCTCTTTACATTCATTTAGTTTTAAAGGCATATCCTTCACTGTTTAATTTTGTGGTTTAAATTGCCTGTCAAATCATAAGAAAATAGAGCCCGAGTCCACAGCTAAATAAAATAGTTTTACTTTCACATGCAATTACAGTTTTTTAATCCTTTTTACCGGTTCATTTTTAACCTATTTTTTTTTGAGATGGAGTTTCGCTCTTGTTACCCAGGCTAGAGTGCAATGGCGCGATCTCGGCTCACTGCAACCTTCGCCTCCTGGGTTCAGGCAATTCTCCTGCCTCAGCCTCCTGAGTAGCTGGGATTACAGGCACGCGCCACCATGCCCATCTGATTTTTTCTATTTTTAGTAGAGACGGAGTTTCACCATGTTGACCAGGATGGTTTCGATCTCTTGACCTCATGATCCACCCGCCTCAGCCTCCCAAAGTGCTGGGATTACAGGCGTGAGCCACCGTGCCCGGCCTTAACCTATTTTTATTTTATCACGTGAAATCAATTCTCAGCAATTTACTCCATAAATGTGATCAAATGCCTTCCATTTATTTTAAAGATCTAAATTCTGATGAAATAAGACTATGTGATCAATACAAAAATCATCCTGTGTTCAGTCCCAGATCCTTGGTTATAAATCATCATAGGACAGGGTCTACTAGAGGATGAATCACTGGAACCAGTTCACACTGTTTATACCAGATCACAAAATCTTCATAAGTTGTATTCATTTTTTTCTTTTTTCTTCACTTTACATCTTAGTAAAAACACATTCGTCCAAACTCATCATTTCCAGCAGCATTCATTTCAATTATAATTTCCTGGGAAATCTATTCATTTGGGTCCCTTTTGGAGTTGATATTTGAATACACTGCTCTAAAACCAGTAATTTTTTCAGAGCTGTTCTCATCTGCTACATAACCCCTGAGAAAAGGTGATCATATCTTTATACATTCTAAGTTCCAAATTTCTTCCTGTTCCATGAGCTTAAAACCGTATCAGGTAATTTCGGGTCACTTGAACTATGGCTCTGTGCTGTGTGCCTCAGCTCTCTCTTATTTTGCTCGACCAGAATAGCATTATATTGATTTTCAGATTTCAAAAATAAAAGAGACAAACTTCAAATTGTTTTAATATGCCTCTTATAATTCTCAAAAACTACATTTTTAAAAATCTGTCTCAGGAATCAAATTATTTAAAAGCCTAATTTTTACACTTTTAGTAAAACTAGTACAGAAATTTAGTGTTCTGTGGTCTTTAAAAATCCTCTTAGCAAGCTATTTTTATGAATAGGCTCTGTTAACTAATGATTCTTGGGCTAAAAGGTGACATCCACCACACCTCCCATTTAATTTTTAGGCACTGTTGTCTCACACAATAAGATACATAATAACCAGGAGATGATTTTTAAGTCTACCCAACTGCACCGCAATCCTTTGGTTTCTGTACATAGCCATGAATGACGGTGACCCTGAGACAGGGCCCTGGGGTTCATTAGGATAACTGACACCTGCCCTATACTCATACATACCCTTCCCCACCCCAGTTTCATATAGTGCTATTGCAGTAGCATGAGAGGGTTTATGTCCTTAATTCCAGAAAACAACTGATAGCAAAGTGAATGGGGGTCCACAGCCATGCAGGGAAAAGCACAGGACTTGGAGAAGTAGTGGTAAATGAGTAACTCAAGGATGGTGGCCACAAACCTCGCTTCATATCCGTGAGAGGCACCCTTAAGTGGAAGAGACAATTTTCTGATGAGAGTTACCACATGTATGTCCCCCAGAACCCTGTGGACTAAGAACTGGGGCCTTGTTTTCCACATTCTTTATGCCTGACGTGGTGCTGGACACATGGCTGCAGCCTGTAACTTAGGGTGATTTGATTTGAGGAATGATCATGTCTAGAGTGGGAGACAGCTGGGAGCAGTGCCTTGTGAAATAAGACCCTGAAGAGGAAGGTTTTGTCAGCAGAGAAGGGTATGGAAGACAGGCCTTAATGAAAATAATAACAGGAGATTGCTGATATCTGAGGGAATGATGGGAGTGACCAGAAAAACGGAGTAAACAGGCAGAGTAATGAGAAAGGCACCAAGGGCAGATTTCTCCCTCTCTGCAGTTCTCACAGGGCCTTCCCTTGAGGAAGACCATCCTTGGCAGGCCCTGAGCATGTAAGTTAGAAAGAGCTCTGATTGCTTACCTTTAGCAACAAAATGGTGGTGCATTAAAAGTTGAGACAGTTCCGCCATGGGGGTGTTTAATCATCACATACAGAAAGTGCTAGATTAGTTTCTGGTGGGGAATCTATTTTTTAGTTCATAGTTGACCTTGACCTCCGAATATCTAGTTCCAATCAACAATCCATGAAGCTTCAGCAGACACTATGTCAGAGGCTGCTATGAGAAGAGTCCCAGCAAGAAGGCTTTGTTTAAAGCTGTTGACAAGACAAAATGGCAAGCTTGTATTTTTAGGATGCGTTGAATGAAATCACCCTCCCAAGAAATATTTGATAAAATATGCCATCTTTTGTGCTGAGCAAAAGAAGTCAGACACAAATGAATACCTGTCATATGATTCCATTTATATCAAGTTTGGAAACCAGCAAAACTTATCTATAGTGACAGAAAGCAACTGGTGATTTCCTGGGGCTAAAAAAATTGCTGAGGAAGACTGGCTGACAAGGGGCAAGAAACTTCTAAAGTTACACAAATGTTCTACATGTTGGGTATGCCGACACATACATTGTCAAAACACGCTGAACTTGATCTTTAAAATGAAGGCATTTTATTGTATATAAATTATATACCCCTTCAGTTGATTAAAAAGAAGCTGTCTTAAATTTAGATGTTGAAACCCTTCAGAAAGCCTTAAAAATTCTCTACAATTAGTAGTGAACACTAGCATACACATGGGCAAACAATCCCACACAGCTCAGTGCAGGACAAACAGAAAGTCACCCTGCAACATGAGATCTAGAAGACAAAGACAGAGAACTCAAATAAGATACCTCAGAGTCCTCTCTTTTCCAGTTCTGGCTTTGATTTTCATGAATTACAAAGTAAGGAAGACTCAGAGTTAATACCACAGCCATAATGCAAAATATATTTGGTTTCTTGATTATTAATGTTTTACCCTAACTATAATGTACAATACATTTAGTTTGTTGAGTATTAATGTTTAAGTTTCTTGTATAAAAAAAGTATGCATATATAGTTCTCGTTCTACATCTAGGTTCATTCATTCTATCTACTGGTCCTTTCACTGCCTTTTAAATCTGGTTAGGGAATTTATATGATGACTGTCTAGACCAGATGAACTGAACTGACAAGGGAAGTGATGACTCTGGCAGCTAAGCTAGGTACATCTCACCCTTCACAAACTGGTGTTTCAGAAGGTCTTGCTCCTGTTGGGAGGTGAGTTGCTTCACGTCTAGGACAAGCCCAAAGTATCCTACACCAAACAGCACCAACAGGACCTGCCTGTCTCTAGGAAGCAAAATGTTTTTGTTTGTTGGTGTTTCTCTTTCTGCTTATAAATGTGTCAGTTTTGCCTATGTATAGACCATTCTTTGAACATGAGGCACAAGGCATCTTTCAGATGTAGCAGAGTTCAGTACAAAAGCACTGAGCTGACTGATAATTTGGAGACTTGGGTTTCAATACTGGTTCATCATTAACTAGAGGTGTTGCTTCAGGCAAGTCAAGGAGTCTCTTCAGACCTAATCTATACTAGAAGAAAAAGGATAAATTAAATATAAGAAAATATCCCTTTAGCTATAAAAGTTTATAATTATATATGTCAGAACCACCAGAGAATCTTAGACATCACCTGGAAGTTTAAAGTTCAGACTTCCCTACGAAGGGATTCAGGACTCTTTAGGACACAAATAACTCCTAACAATGGACCTCCTATGCTTGGATGCTGAATTGACCCAGGTTGCTGCAAATGACCAAGCTTCTTTCTTTTTTAAGGCTGAATAGTATTTCACCATGTGTGTACAGGCCATGTTTTCTTTACCCAGTCATGTGCTGATGGTCATTTAAGTTGATATCATAACTTGGCTATTGTGAATAATGCTGCAATAAACATGGGAGTGCAGACATCTCTTTGACACTGACGTGTTTTGTGTAAACACACAGAAGTGGGATTGCTAAGTCATATGGTAATTCTATTTTTAGGTTTTTGAGGAACCACCATACAGTTTTCCATAAAAATTATCTCATTTTTTTTAATAACCATGTTGAGAGGTGTGAGGTGCTGTCTTATAGAGGTTTTAATTTGTATTTCCCTAATGATTAGTGATTTTTTTTTCATTTTTTATATATTTGTAAGCTATTTGTGTATCTTCTCCTGAAAAATGTTTATTCAGGTCCTATGCTCATTTTTAAAATTTGTCTTGTTTTCTTTCTGTAGAGTTGTTTGAGTTCCTTACAAATTTTGGATATTAGCGTCTTATCAGACACATGACTTGCAAATATTTTCTCCTAATTTGTAGGTTGTTTCTGTTGTTTCCTTTGTTGTACAGAAGCTTTTGTACTTCATGAAGTCCCCTTTGTTTCTTTTTGCTTTTGTTGCCTGTGGTTTTGGAGTAAAATTGAAAACATAATTGCCCAAACCAATGTCATATAGCTTTTCCCCGTTTTATTCTAGTAGTTTTATAGTTTCACATCTTACGCTTAAGTCTTTAACCCATTTTGAGTTAATTTTTTTCACATGATATGAGAAAAGGATCCAGTTTAATTCTTCTCTATATATCCAACTTTCCCAAACACATTTATTAAAAATATTAGCTATTTTATATTGTGTATTCTTGGCACCTTTATAGGTTACAATCCTTTGTATTTACTTAGCTTTATAATTGATCCTTTGCAGAACCTGGAGAGGTGCTTGTGGTTTAGACTTGGCTGATTGCCTATTTAGAGTACAATCCAGTATGTTCTTCTGAACTCTATTTCTGCTGCAAATTGTTAACTGAATCCAGAGGTTTATTTGACAAGACTATGCCTGGTAGTGTATTCTCCCATCAGGAATCACATACTATCTGGCTGACTCTCTCTCTTTTATGTTGGCAGTCTATAACGCTCAATGCCTAGATCAGGGGTCAGCGAACTCCAGCCACTGGCCAATTTTTGACAACCATCTGTTCTATTTGGTCTATGAATGCAGCCAGATTCATTTATTTAATAACTATCTCTGGCTTCCTTATTGAAAATCAATTGATCATACATGTGTTGGTTCATTTCTTGGTTCTATACTGATCAGTTCTATACTGATCCATTCATTGATATGCCTATTACACTTTTTTTAATGTGTCTGTCTATTTTGATGGCAGTACTAAGCTGCTGCAGTTGCATAGTTTGTAGCATAGTTTGAAATGAGGTAGTATGATGCCTGCAGCTTTGTTCTTTTTGCTCATGACTGCCATGGCTATTCAAGGATTTTTGCAATTCCATGTGAATTTTATTTTTTTTTAAAGTTCTGTGAAAATGACATTGAAATTTTGACAGAGATTGTATTGAATCTGCACATTGCTTTGGGTAGTATGTACATTTCAGCAATATTAACTCTTCCAATTCACAAGCATGGGATATCTCTTTACATCTCTTCACTTTTAGTCATCTGTGTTTTTAAAAGCCAGATGAGTATCCTGCAGGTAGTACATAATTGGGTCTTGTTTTTAATCCATTCAGCCACTCAGTCTATTCATTGGAGCATTTAATATATTTACATTCAAGGTAATTACAAATGTTAACTATGTATTAAATAGTTAAGGACTTACTATTTCCATTTTGGAATTGGTTTCTGATTTGTTTTATAAATACTTTATTTCCATCTTCCTTTCTTGCTGTCTTCTTTTGTGATTTGATGATTTTCTTTAGTGGTATACTTTGAATTCTTTCTATTTTTGTTTTGTGTGTCTACTGTAGATTTCTGCTTTGTGATTCATATGAAGCTTACATAGCACATCTTACAACTTACACTTATAACAGTCTATTATTGTATGAACTTATAATAGTTCATACAGTTGTTATAGTATAACGAAGTCAAAGTCACACAACCCTGCACTTTTATCCTCCAGATATTTTGTTTTTGATGTAAGAATTTACATTACTTAGTAATAGCTATCTCTTGAAAATTTATTTTAGTTTAGTTACTATTAATAGTTTTGTCTTTTAGCCCCCATACTAGGAATAAAATTGCTTTACAAATGATCATTATAGTCCTAGAGAATTCCAAATATGACTCTTTATTATGCCATTGAGTTTTGTGCATTTTTAAGTTTTATGTTAATAATTATTGGCCTTTTATTTCAACTTAAGAAACTCCCTTTAGCAAGTCCTGTAAGGCAGGCCCAGTGATGATGACCTCCCTTGGCTTTGGTTTGTCTGGGAAAGTTTTTGTTTCTCTCTCATTTCAGAAAGACAAATTTTCTGGGTAAAATATTCTTGGTTGGCTATTTTTATTTCTCCTCTAACACCTGAATCTAACATCCCAACTTCTCTGGCCTTCAAGGTTTCCATTGAGAAATCTGGGGAGAGTCCATTAAGACCATTCTGGGTTTCCACTGAGAAATCTGGGGAGAGTCCATTAAGACCATTCTGGGTTTCCACTGAGAAATCTGGGGAGAGTCCATTAAGACCATTCTGGGTGCTGTGTTGCATAGTATCTCTTGCTGCTCTCAGAATTTTTTCGTTGTCTTTGTTTGTTATAGTTTAATTATTCTGTGTCTTGGTAAACTCCTCTATGGGTTGAATCTGACTGGAAACCTCTGTGCTTCCTATACCTGGATACTGGCATACCTCCCCATATGAGGAAAATTCTCAGCCATTATTTCTTTAAATATGCTTTCTGACCTTTTTTTGTCTTTCTTCTTTTTCTGGAATTTCTATAATGTGTATATTCAGTCTCTTGATGGTGGCTCATGTTTCTGCAAGCTTTCTTCATTTTTAAATTTATTTTTTTTAAATTTTTTGCTACTCTGGATAATATCACATGTCTGTCTTCAAGCTCATTGATTCTTCTTTTAGCTTGATCAAGCCTGCTGTGGGAGCTTCAATTGCATCTTTTCATTTCTGCCATTGTATTCTTCAACTCTTGAATTTCTATTTTTTTTTATTATACTTTAAGTTCTGGAGTACATGTGCAGAACATGCAGGTATACACATGCCACGGTGGTTTGCTGCATCCATCACCACGTCATTTACATTAGGTATTTCTCTTAATGCTATCTCTCGCCTAGCCTCCCAGCCCCCAGCAGGCCCCAGTGTGTGATGTTCCCCTCCCTGTGTCCATGTGTTTTCATTGTTCAATACCCACTTATGAATGAAAACATGCAGTGTTTGGTTTTTAAGAATTATTTCTATTTCATTGAAGTTCCCATTTTGTTCATATATTGTTTTCCAAATTTCATTTAATTTTCT